AGCGCTGTCTGGAATCAAGCTGCGGCCGCGGTGCATTCTGGGGAAGCGGTCAGTCTGAAGAATGCACAAGTCTGCTCTGATGCATGCTCGATAAAGAGGGCGGGGCGAGAACAACATCCGGGGATTTGGTGCGTTCTCGATCTGGCGTTCTCGAGAATTGGAACGGTACCCGGGCTGAGGCTGATGACGTGTCACGAGCACACGAGAACGCTCAAGAATGCATATTGAGAAACGGCCTCAGTCATTTAAAGTTGCGTAACCACTGTATAGCGCCATATATAGTGATTAGGGCGGACGATCAGACACAGCCTTTAGCTTTTTAAACAAGCTGCTCTACGATTTTCTTTCTAATCTTCTGAGACAACTGTTTCCTTCCCTTCCTCTGGTCCATGTAGAGTGCGGTACACACCACGTGACCAAACAGCACAGTGACTATCTGTAGCTCTATATTATCCACAAACTGATTAAATGATTGTGATGCTAATTAGTGGACACGCCAGGATTAAACGTCTCTTTGGTCACATTATTTTCAGCCTTTCTAGAGGGTCCATCATTTTAGTCCAGGTCTGTTTCAGGAGTTGATTTTTTAAAATCATTCTGTTGAGGTCTGGTTGAAAAAATGTCTGAATTTCATTTGTTCATTTTCATTTAATCTTTATTTATTATTATGTTTGTAAGATTCAAATGTTAAAATAATGTGTTTTCCTTTCATTAAATCAGTGAAACCAACAATTTTATAATTAATGTATTTTCCATCAATGAATAAATGGCATCAATAGAGGGACTAGACTTTAAACCATCATGGACGTTTGACTGACCTCAAACAATCTGCACCAGATTTCTGCCGCCTGCTGAAGTCTGTTATTTTCTATTCTTTTTATAGATCTATGTCACATTATTCATTTTACTGAATCTGTCATTGGTCAGCATATTGTTTCCTCTGCCTTTCTAACAAAACCGATGATGGACTTAAAGGAATAGTACACCCAAAACATGATTAGCCTTCATTTTCTACTCATCCCCACGCTGAACAACACTCTGGAGTACTTTTTTGATATCTCAAATGCATCTGGAGATCTGGGAGGCTTCTTGCTGTCTGCTGACATTCAAATAATGGAGGTCTATGGCGCCCGAGGCAGAAAGGTCCATAAAAGTCCACAAAAAACGTGTCAATATTCCTCCATGCTGCTCGTCCAATGTATTCCAAGTGTCCTGAGTGGGTAGCATCCAGAATTTACTCGAAACGAAGTCATTTAGAATGTTTTTAGAGCATAAACAGTAGTGTATAGGATTTCCTGAAAGCGCGTTCACGAGTCGACGGAAACCGCGGCAGACCAAACCAGATGAAAGTGCGCATTCAGCTCGGCAAAGAACTCATGCTCTTCCTCAACACTGAAGTCCTCAGACATTTTTCTTTCGTTGTTTCTTTCTTTGCACAGGTAAACAGCACATTTCTTCTTCTACGCTTGCATTATCGGCAGAGCAGACGCTGAATGCGCACTTTCATCTGGTTTGGTCTGCCGCGGTTTCCGTAGACTCGTGAACGCGCTTTCAGGAAATCCTATACACTACTGTTTATGCTCTAAAAACATTCTAAATGACTTCGTTTCGAGTAAATTCTGGACGCTACCCACTCAGGACACTTGGAATACATTGGACGAGCAGTATGGAGGAATATGGACAAGTTTTTTGTGGACTTTTACCCCTTGCTCACACTGGCTCCGGTGCGGTTACCGAGCCGACGGAGACCGCAACTCCCCCTCTCACACCGCCCTTTTGACTATGGTGCGGTGCGGCTCCGGCAACAGGTCCGGAGATTTAACTCGCGAGAACAGAAGTTCACTTGAGTTCACGTAACTTCATGCGATAACACGGCCCAAATAAGGATATTTGCGAGAGCTTGTTGCGGAGGGCTCCGGCACGCCGCAAGGATAGCTTTCTTGCTGAATTTTCTGCAGCGCCGGAGTGTCTCGGTAACCGCAGCCGGACAGCTCAGCAGCCGGTGAGAGAGGTTTACGTCTTTTTAATGACTTGGAATCACTGCGGCGCCGCACCCACCGCACCGCAACGGTAAGACCGGAGTCGGTGTGAGCCGAGGGTTATGGACCTTTCTGCCTCGGGCACCGTAGATCTCCATTATTTGAATGTCAGCAGACAGCAAGAAGCCTCCCAGATCTCCAGATGCATTTGAGATATCAAAAAAGTACTCCAGAGTGTTGTTCAGCATGGGGGTGAGTAGAAAATGAAGGCTAATCATGTGTTGGGTGTACTATTCCTTTAATCTTCTAACACCCAATTTCACTATTTAACAATGTAACATTTTTAATAGTCTCATAGAAAATGAAACCCATTTAAGGAAGAGATTTTTACACACATTCATTTCTGCTCTAGTAACCCTTCACAGATATATTTACAAACTTATATCCATACATCAGATGCTTTTTGTTTGCAGCTCTTTCTTCTGCAGCAGCTCTCTGGTTATAAAATGAAACATGTTAAAACTGAATATTGTCTTTCTTTGGATGATCATCGGAGTGGGAGGATGCTGCACATCGCAGGAAATGTGTCAGAGAAATGATGAATGCTGATAATTGTTTTCCGAGAAAAAGAAATACCTTTTTTAACAGGAATCTGCTGAATAGATGTGAGGCTGCCTATTGATTTCAGAAAAAGGACCAGCTGAGCGTTTTCACTGGAAACACTAATCACTGGAGAAAGAGCAAATTTCATGAAAGAAACTATTTTTCTTCAGGAAAAACTTTGTTTAAATGTAAATCAATGTCCAGGAAATCAAACTAATTGCTTCTATCATCAAACGTTGCTCCTGTGTTTAGTCCCAGTAATTAGCTGGATGGTTTGAGTGTCAGGTTTCTGTTTCTGTTATGTTTGTCTTTTAAGTATTGAGTCTTACTGTACTTTACTCCTGGTTTTCTAGTGTTTAGTTTTCTTTTCTCCATGTTTTATAGTCCTAGTTATTTGATTATCATTTTGTTGCCTCCCTGCCTCTGCTTTTGGGTCAACTAACCATAGCCAAATCGTGACATTGAGAAGTGCTCTTATTCTGCTTCTGATTTTTCTTTTTTTAAGTTTGTGAAGGTTTACATAAGAGGTAAAGGTGGCTGACAACAGAAATTACTAATTGATCTGATACAGAGTAAATACAGGCTCAGTATCACGATACCTTGGCAGCCATAAGAACGTGCCAGCGGCAGCGTGCTGCGCCATGCAAGGGTTTGTAGTGAAAATGTAATCTCAATTACAGTGCAAATTGTAGTTGACAATGAAGAAATTGATTGATTGATTGATTAATATGACCGATATTCTCTGAAGGTCTGAAACGCCTCTGCAAGTGACGCCTGTCTGAGGGTTGAGGGTCTGTCGGGGAAATAAGTGAAGTTTCTTCTCCTCTCTCCGTTTCTGTAGTTCAACGTTTTCTATCTCACGGTTTTTCATGTGCTTATATAAACCTGTTGTGTTTCCACTGCATTTAACCTGCTTTTTACAAACCATACAGCTTGTCGTTGTTTCATTTACGGTATAAAAAAATAACCAAACAGCGCTTCTTTCCCTCTTTCTCCTTCTCTCATGATCTGAGGAGCAGCAGTGCGTTTTTCTGTGTGTCAAATGGAGAAAGAGCTGATTGGGCGGGCCAGGCTGAGTCTGAGTGCTGATTGGATGGCGCTGCTGAGGCGTCGGTGCAACATGATGACGAAAGGGAGGAGCAGCAAAGTGCTGCGACACAGAGAAGGAGAATTTGGTGAATCGGAGAATAAAAAGTATTGCAGGCATCCAAACCTTTCATTTGGTTTGTTGGACCAGGCAAACATTTGAAACAGGCAGGAAACTGGCTTCTCAGGAACTAAACTAGCGGTGGCCCTTCTGGTTTATCTGAATTATATACAAGACGTCTTCCTCCACAGCAATAGATTACAGAAAGAGCTTTTAATACCACCTCAGGTTGCCGGTTTGTTAAATCTACAAACTGCTTCTGTCAGACAACAAATATCTTCCTTTCCTTCTGATGTCTGGATAATTATCCCAATTAAGCTTTGCTTTTTGAACACCAGTTTAAGCTGGAAACTCTGCTTGCCTTAGCAGCACATTATGGCAGTTAATGTCTCAGTTTGCTGTCCTTATGGAAGGTCTTTATAGGAAATCAATGGATCATTATTTATACCTAAAACTAATATGTTTGCGGTGATTTAATGAATTTAGCGTTAATCAGTAAAAAAAACAATAATTTCCGTTGAGATCACTGAGTCTGGGAGCGGCCATCTTTGTCCAAATCTAGTAGCCCCTCCCTCCTGCCATCTTCCAGCAGTGACGTCACGGTGCGGTAAGCCTAGCGCCATTCTCCCCGCTTTCCAAGCTAAATCAATGGGGACTACTAGACACATCTGCAATCAACAACAATTATTGAAGATTTCCAGAGGACTTCACCATTGAAATTCACCAGAGCTATAGTGAAACTGACAATGCCCACGTGCATGGCAGCTGGATGCTGGAATACATCGGGTAAAAGTGGAAAAAAAGAGTTATTCCACCTTTCTGATTCCTGATCCTCCACGGACGGGTTGGTCGTTGGATCGCCAACTTGAAGAGGGAGGATTTGCCATCGAACTTCTGGCCAGAGAAAAAACCGTAATATGTAGCCAACATTTGGAAGAAGAATGTTTTCAAGATGACTTGGATAATAGCGCGTTGTGACACAACACCAGATACAGCACTGGGACTTGATCAACAGCCGATACCGCACCGTGACGTCACTAACCAGTAGGTGGCAGTAGTGTTCTTTGACAAACATGGATGCCTCCAGTAAAGCACATTCACATGAAAATTACTCTGAATTAAAAACACTGATCATTTATTGAACAGGATGGAATCATTTCAGATTTAAAGAACTTTCAGAAGTTTGAATTCTGACTATGAGCGACTTTTGCTTTAAAGCCTGACCCAGATATAATATAATATTTTGTTTTATTTCCTGGACTAACTATGTTGTGTCCCTTGAAAGAAATCAATGATTTTCTGCGATCAGTTCTTCCTGAATACTCTAATTACTGCATCCTGTCCATCTATCAGAGAAATACAGCTGGAACTAAAAGAACAGAATCGAATGACTGTTATAAATCGGTTCCGTTACATCATCTGAAATGTCTGTATTTACAGGAGAAAGCAATCAGTCGGGGTCACAGCCATCAAAGCATTTTCCCCGTCTGAGCGCTGTGCCCTTTGTGAGTCACGCTGATGTAAGTGGAGGGCGCCGTCTCCATCCTGCTACGAGCGTCTCTGGTTTCGTTCAGCGGACACTCGCTGGGCGCCCTGCACCAGAACACCTGCTTGTAGGAGTTCCTGAAGTTCTCGGACAGGAAGGCGTAGATGATGGGGTTGACGGAGGAGTTGCTGTAGGCCAGGCAGTGAGCAACCATCCTGAAGACGAAGGACGCCTGGTTCAGAGGGAAGGAGCCGAACTCCACCCACAGGTGGACGATGTGGTGCGGCAGCCAGGACAGGCAGAAGACCACAACCACCACCAGGACGGTCTGAGCAGTCTATGGAGAAGATGAAGATGCAGAAATTATCCAATTAAACCTTCAGAGAAAAATAGTCTGCTGGATTTACTGAGATCTGAGAAAGACTTTGAGGATTGCTGTGACTTATTAACCTTTCTATTCACTTATGTTAGGCTGCTTGCTATTAAATTTAAAAGTACCTACTAGACATAGACAGGGGCGGATTTAGGAAATTTGGGGTCCTAGGCAAAGACAGGCAGGGGGCCCTTTGAATGGAGAAGACAACCCATCAAACAGCCTCATTCTCCAGATTTAGAAATGTTAATAGAATAGACATCCATTATCTGTTCTAGGTTGTGTCCCTCTCTTCTTGTCCCTTTTCTTCTTGTTTTCCTCTCTATGTTTTGTACTCAGCTGACTTTTCATGCTGTCTCTAAAGGAATGAAAGATTTTTTCCAAGCACTAAGCTCACTTAGCTGATTGCTCCTTCCTGTGTTTCCAAAAAGGCCAAAGTAAATAACCCAGTCCTTCTTTTCACTGTAGACAAGCCATGATCTGCTTATCTGTTCTCCATTTTTCATTTGGATGAAATAATAGCTGCATGAATCATGACAGCAGACAAGATAGAGGAGAGCAGGAGAACCCACACATGCTTAGGGAGAACATGCAAACTCAATGCAGAAAGACCCCGGGCCGGGACTAAGCTATTTTTATTAATTTTGGACCTTAGGGACGAATATCCATGCTTGTTTTCTTTGCAAACTCTAACATCTCACATCTGTTGTCCTAATGCACAGTGTGTCCAAATGGCTGTATATATTTTTTTATTGGAAAAATATATAGAAAGTTCAGCGTATGCCAGCATTTTAGGAGATTCTGGGACTTCGGGCAGACGCTGACTAAATCGCCAATTTGTGACAGGGGCCTTAGATGACATCTTGCCCCCTGTCTCAAGGTTATTTGATTAATAAAGTTACAAAGGCATCTAACTGCACAGCACCGATCACAGGCGGTCTTTCTCCGCTCGGATCCATCCTCGGTGAATAAAGCTGTCACCAAAGGAAGGAGAGAAACTAAAGGTGCATACAAAGAAAGACACAGCTGCAGAGAAAGAGCGTGGGCTCATGCTGGTGACATTTTGGGATTGAATCTGCAAACATAAAGTTCTCAAAATGTGCGTGGAGAGTAGTTCACGTGTGTGTGAATTTATTAAAACTGCTTGTAAAAATGTTTATGAAAAGCGTGCAATTTTGGCAGAGTAGTTGTGATACAGAACAAACTGTCTTATTAAACTTGATTTATAAAGGCTGTTTGGGAGTGTTTATAAAGACACACTTTTTATTTATAAATCCTGATTAAAACTTGAGGTGCTGCTTATAAATTCTGATCAGAGAGCAGAGCTGTTGGTCGTTGCTGTTGTTCAGAAATCATCAATCCATCTTTTATAGTTAATCTCAGAGCATGTGAGCAGAGTGGAGCGAGCAGCGGAGCGGAAGAAATAAGGTGGAGGACAGAGTGGTTTTCAATTCAAAGGCCGGAGCGACTTTATTTAAATTCATGTTTAACTTAAAACCTAGACCAATGCCTATGCTGTAGTCTGTGCCTATAATCAGTTATAGTCTATGTTTCAACTTTAACACTGAGATGAGGATTGCATATTGTGTGATAAAAATTGGGATAAAATATCATAAAAACATTCGCTAACTATGCTGAAGAATACAGACTGGGTTTACATAAAGTGATCCTTGTGGTTATACTGGAAAAAATCAAAATCTAGATAAGTCATTTTTTTCTTAAAATAGCTGCATTTGTTCTTGGATTTAGGAGATAAGAGAAACATTTTGCCAATAGAACATGACAATTTACGTTTAAAATAAGAAAAAACAATTGCATTGTCTCATTTCAAGTGCATATTATCTAATTTTCGTATTTTAAGAGTAAAAATACTAATTTCATTGGCAAACTATCTCATTTACCTACTCAAATTAAGGGTAAATACACTTTATTTAAAGCTACAGTGTGTAATTTTCAGCGACATCTAACGTCCAGACTGCAGCAGACTGCAGCAACATGAACATCTCCCCCCCACCGCTTCTCCCCACCAACAGTACAGCGAGCGTTACGGGACAAAATGTCTTCCACGACGTCCGCATCACCTACATTCTCAAGTGATGAGGTTTGTTTACATAGATAATTTTAATACTGCCATCTATTTTTCAGTACCGTCTCAGCTCAACTTGCCGTAGTTACTTTCGGCGTAATGGGCGATCTCGCAATCGCTAGTTTGTTGCCTCTGCGCTGCCGTAGCGCAAAGATGTCTGCCTCCATGGCTGCGAGACCCGCTCCTATGTAATTATAAATAACGAATTCTAAGGCAACGCAAATATTAAAGTTAAGAGGCTGAGCTCGTAGATGATGATAAATAACATAGTTATGTATAATATATTACATTTCTGACTGTATATCCCTGTAATTATTACACACTGTAGCTTTAAGAATTTTTTAGTTATTTCTAGGTTGTTTTTCCAGTGTAGAGCCTGTTTTTGAAAATGGATGGCATACATGCATTATACGCTATTATCTCATTTGCAATAGGATGCAAAGGGACCTTTTTCAAAATAACAGCCTGTTAAATAAGACAATCCACATGTATGGGTCACATCATTAAATCAAACATCGTGTCCCAGGGCCCTGGCTGTTTTCATCTTGCCCCCTGTCTCTAAAGGCCTGGTTATCCTCTTGCAGCAGTGTGTCGCAGTGAGCGTGTCGCAGATATTATCGATTTCTGCCCAATATTGAAGCGTGGTCTGCGCTACGTTATTCCACGCCACAATGCCAGAGGGCCAATCAGGAACTAGCTGTGGGTCTAGATACGGCCGAGGCGCTGAGGAAGTGGGGGCAAGTTTGTGCAACAATGGAGGGACATGAGGGCCAAAAAGTGCGGGGATCCAGGTGGAAAAAGGCTCCGAGCGTTCTCGCGCACCTCGCTTTTCTAGCTGCTCCATCTTTAGTCGTTTTCCACAATGGCGGTCATACAAACAAAAACAAGAAGGTAAGGAACGAAACAGAAAAATACACATGGAGTAGATCAGATGTACGTAGAATTTACCAATCAGAGGCCTCCTGTCACCTACAATTTTGGAGAGGTGCACCAGAGTGTCTGCAAAAAGGGGCGGGGCATATCTGCATTCACTGCGACACGCGCAGACTTCCTGGTTTCTGAGTATAAATCAGCCTTACGGCTGAGTCCAGTCTCATGGTGGAAGCTTCTCAAAGTGTTTAGTTTTGTAGTAAACAAAATTCAAAGTTAATTTTCCATTGTAATACTTTGTAGAGATTTCCAGCAGGTTGCAAACCTCCCATAACCTCTCTGACCCAGATCAACATCAACTGTGTTTTCACCCACCTTCTTTTTGGACAACTCTGATTTCTTGGAGATGTTCTTCAGCTTTTTGTGCAGATGGTTTAAGACCTGGAAAACACAAAGCAGACCGTGATGAGAGGCGAAGCTGAATCCAAGGAGCATCTGGACACAACAGGCTTCACGCGTACGAGTCTCCTATGAAGCTGTTACACTCCTTACCAGCTGGTGGCAGTAGTGCACCTGAAGGTTTGTTCACCAGCCGTGATTAAACATGAAGATAAACATGAAAACAGAACCATCAGTCGTACATCGTAATCGTTATCTCTTTGCCAAATTGCTTTAAGCACAGGAAGATTATAATTTTCAATCAAAGGTTTTATTTTGGTCTTCTTCTCGTTCTGAAGGCGGCTGGGAAACAACCTTGAGGATTGTAACAGCTTCATCACAGCTTGGAGATTCCTCACCTGTAAATATCTGATCTGTATTAGTATTTAAAGTTTTTAGCCTGAACTACACGAAGCATAATTCATTCTGGTGAATCACTGTTGTCTAAGGCCAGATCGCAGCGCGGGAGGCGGGACTATATGATGTATCACTCACATGTACGTACAGCTCTGAACTAACTGTGGTTTCTGAATTACAGGAAGTTCAACTGAGTCAAGTCTGGAAAGGAGCCTGTTGAGTGTGGAGCAATGATCCGTGCACCACAGGAGGCTTTTGATTAAATGCAAGTAACTTATGGTGATGATGCCCCATCCTTTGGCCTTACAAGGCCTTTCAGCTAGATCAAACAACAGGAAGTGTGTCACGAGCTTTCCTTATAGAACGGCCCTAGTATATACGGTTTATCCAGATATATACAGTGGATAGGAATAAATAACGAAGAAGAGATTAAAGGGGACTTATGCTACGTTCACACCTAAAGCAGCAGAAGCAGCAGGTTGACATGCAAAGTCAATGGTTGACACGCTTCAAGGTGCAGCCAAAGGTCCTGCAGTGCGTCTGAGCAGCTGAAGCAGCACATCATGAGCTTCTGAACATCCGACGCGCTGCAAACGCAGCAGCTGCTGAGTTGGAAAAACTGAACTTTAGCTGCTGGACGCGCCGCATTAACCAATCAGAGAAGCTGATCTGGGAGCTGGCAGGGAGTCAGACACACCACTGCTGATGCAGAGCGCTATGATTACTTCTCTGGAACAGTTTATTAACGCCAATGTAGAAACCTGCCGGCAGAATATGTTCACTTTTATTATCCTGGTACCTGCAGTTTGGATTACGTACCAGAAAAACGCCCTCCAGCTGATGGTAATCTGGATTAACTGACTGCACAGACCATGTTTTCAGGAGGACTTTCTCACTTAAAAACTACTTTTTACCCGCTGATCACAGCTAACATAGCTGCCATTGTTCCAGGCAAAGAAAGGATCGGGTAGCTCCGCCCACCGCGCATCAGACCCACTTTTCCACCCCCACAGCTACAGCAGCAATGATTATAAAAACAACTCATATTTAAGAGGTGCTTTGATTCAAATTAGGGTTGCTTCAGCACCCCCAAAAATGCAACATATTCTCATTATCAGTTCGTATGAAATCGTACGAAAAGTTATGCACAGTATTTCATACATTTTGGACTTTTTTCCTCGAAAAAACACATCAGTGCGCATGCGCAGGCAGACAGACGAAAAAAGCAGATCAGCGGACGGACGTAAAACTGGGAAAAACAGTGCAATAATTACTTCTTCATGTCTCTAACTACGTTGCTTGCTGTTTTGTATCTTAGGGTTAGAGCTAATTCTATGTTAAATTCTATGTTATTTAATGGTGCGTAAGATGCGCATGCGCAAAGATATCTTGTCTCGAGGCAAGACGTAAAAATACGACGAAATACGACGAAAAAACGTCAAAAACATACGAAATTACGGTGCATAACTTTTCGGACGATTTCATACGAACTGATAATGAGAATATGTTGAAATGGAGCACATTGTCAAACCTACATGTTAAAATTAAGTGAAAATAGACTTTTTGCAGTGTATGTTTTCAGCACAGGTTCCAGGACCAGTTGTATCAACATATTCTCATTATGAGTGCGTATGAAATCGTACGAAAAGTTATGCACTGTAATTTCATACGTTTTGGATGGTTTTTTTTGTTGTATGCGCATGCGCATCTGACGCACCATTCACGAATATAGAATATAAATTACAATTAGCCCTAACCCTGAACGTAGTTAGAGACATGAATAAGTGATGATTGCGCTGTTTTTCACATTTTTACGTCCGTCCGCGGATCTGCTTTTTTTTTTTCTGTCTGCCAGCGCATGCGCACTGATCTGGTTTTTTGAGGAAAAACATCCAAAACGTACGAAATAGTGTGCATAACTTTTCGTACGATTTCATACACACTCATAATGAGAATATGTTGCTACGTTTCTTGTTGTTTTGTATCTTAGGGTTAGGGTTAATTGTATGTTAAATTCTATGTTATTTAATAGTGCGTAAGATGCGCATGCGCAAGGAAATCTTGTCTCGAGGCAAGACGTAAAAATATGACGAAATACGACGAAAAAACGTCAAAAACGTATGAAATTACGGTACATAACTTTTCGTATGATTTCGTACGAACTCATACACTGAAAAATGGGGCACATTGTCAAACCTACATGTTAAAATAAAGTGAAAATAGACTTTTTGCAGTGTGTGTTTTCCGCACAGGTTCCAGGACCAGTTGTATCAACATATTCTCATTATGAGTTCGTATGAAATCGTACGAAAAAGTTATGCACCGTAATTTCATACGTTTTGGATGTTTTTTTTTGTTGTATGCGCATCTGACGCACCATTCACAAATATAGAATATAAATTACAATTAGCCCTAACCCTGACCCTAAGATATAAAACAGCAAGCAACGTAGTTAGAGACATGAATAAGTGATGATTGCACTGTTTTTCCCATTTTTACGTCCGTCCGCGGATCTGCTTTTTTTTTTCTGTCTGCCAGCGCATGTGCACTGATGTGGTTTTTTGATGAAAAACGTCCAAAACGTACGAAATAGTGTGCAAAACTTTTTGTACGATTTCATACGCACTCATAATGAGAATATGTTGCTACGTTTCTTGTTGTTTTGTATCTTAGGGTTAATTGTATGTTAAATTCTGTTATTGAATGGTGCATAAGATGCGCAAGGATATCTTGTCTCGAGGCAAGACGAAAAAACGTCAAAAATGTACGAAATTACGGTGCATAACTTTTCGTACGATTTCATACTAACTCATAATGAGAATACACTGAAAAATGGGGCACATTGTCAAACCTACATGTTAAAATAAAGTGAAAATAGACTTTTTGCAGTGTATGTTTTCAGCACAGGTTCCAGGACCAGTTCTATGGGGCCTATTGGCCCCTGTTGGTCTCTGTCTAGAACCGCCAGTGGTATTAGGTTTGTAGAACCACCCCCCCCCCCCGACGCTCCAGACGCCAAATATGGTAGATCAAAATCAGGAACTTCAGTTACAGTAAAATCTTAGTTCTTGGTGAAGGAGCCTCTTAGCAGAGCGCCTGATTCCTGCGCTTTTACGCGCCTTGGTTTCTCTCATCCTGCGCATTAACGCGTTAACTGACCTTTGCGTAGCAGACCGAGATGAGGCAGAGCGGCAGCAGGTAGCCGAACACAAAGGTGCACATCACGTAGATCTTCCTGTGCTGCTCCGGCCAGACCTCCCAGCAGAAGGTGTTGTTGTCCTCCCGCTCCACGATGCTCTGGTAGTGCGCCACGGGCGCGGCCATCACCACAGACACTGTCCAGATCAGCACCACGCCGAGCAGCGCGTGCCTCCCCACGCGGATCGACGAGGCTTTCCTGGCGTGGACGATGGCCACGTAGCGGTCCACGGACATGGCGGAGAGCGTGAAGATGCTGACCAGCATGGAGACGGTGAAGAAGTAGTGGATGAACTTGCAGATGAAGGCTCCCAGCACCCAGGTGGGCAGCATGTAGATGGTGGTCTGGAAGGGGACGCAGAAGAGGAGGTAGGACAGGTCCGCCACGCTCAGGTTGAGGATGAAGATGTTGGTGGTGCTCCTCGGCTGGCCCGGTTTGCTGCGCGCCAGCACGGTGATCACCAGGCTGTTCCCCAGCACCCCCAGGATGAAGATGATCCCGAATATGAGGAGGGAGACAAAGTTATCCACCCCCACCCCCATTAGGACTGTGGCCGGCAGCGCCCCTGCGCTGAGCAACTGGCTTTGGTTCTCCACCTGCTGCTCCATCTTCCTCACTTCAGCACATGTTGAAAGAAGAACATCTTTTCAGAGCAACGTTGATTCCCTGGAGAGGAAAGCGGCGATGAAGCTGCCTCCGCTTCACAGGCAACGTCAGCAAACTGTGCGCAACCGGTGCGTCTCCACAGCGGAGGGGGGGCAGCTGCTCACTTTAAGGCTTAATGAGCTTTATGTGAACAAGTAGAAAGCATCGACATGAGTGAAGGAACAAAATACAAAAACTATCCGCAAAATGCGGATTTATTTCTGCAACCAGGTTCAACTTTCACAGAAAAGCATCTAATTTAATTCAAAGACAATATGTAGGCTGAGACCTAGCTACTTAAAGTCATATTTAAATGTCAAATCATTCTGGCTTAAACATGTATATAAATGTACTTTTTATCAGACCATATTGTCCCAATAGTGAGAAAATTTCTATTAATAAAGAAAAAATCTGTGTTTTTCCCCGTTATCTCCTGCAGGCCAGTTAGTTCTATCAGCCTGAACACCTAAATTCGGCCAATCATATATCAACGGTCATCTGTCAATCAAATGTTTTCGGTCATAGCATCTTGATTCATATGTCGCAGCTAATATACGCAACGGTTGAAATCAGAATCCTTTCCTTTCCCATTGAGTTCAAATGTGGTCGTTTCCGTCAAAAAACAGGAGACTTGACGGAAGCAAAGTTTCCTTCTGCCTTTGGCCGGCCCTGACCATAGATCTGAAATTCATTTAGGGAAGAACATGTAGAATCTGATGCTTCTTGTTTTAGCAGTAACATGTGGACTGAGGGGTTAACAGAAATTTACGATTGGTGAATTTTTCTAAGGAGTTTGATGCAAGTTTTGATAAATTATAGAAATATAAAAAAGTTTTCAACGCCTTTTTTGTGTGTTAAACTTCAAAGTAAAGTACAAGCAGAGAGGAAAGAGAATGAAGTCTGCTGCAGCTCCCTGTTACCGATATTAAAATGATCACAGAAGAAGAAGATTTTCCCCTAACCGCCTTAAACTAACCTTCATTTAACTCTGAACTGTTAAAGGAACAGAAATCAGAGTCAGACGCTGTTCAAAGCTGCAGCTTTTCACATCAGCAGCGTTTTCTTCCTGAGAAAAGCCAAACCATTAAAATGTTAACCGAGCCCAGAAATGATTAGGTAGTTTGCTTCGCTGTGACTGCGGCCCTCTGCGCCGGTATTGATCCTCCCTGACCTGCTCCTGGAGCAGCTGATTAGCTGGCAGCCATCTGGAGACGATGCAGAGGCTATGTAACCTGAGAGCAAGAGCTGATGGTATCTTTGAAGGGTGTCCTCACATGGTTTTTCTCTTGCTAATCCAATGAAGGCAGACAGACCCCAGAGCTGGAAATGATGGTGAGGATGATGCAGATGATGAAGATGAGGATGTGACCGCCTCTCCCACTCTGGAAATTAATGGCCGTCATTATTTCAGCTATGTGTTGCGGAGCTATTATGCTTTGGGGAGCTGGCGGCTGTTTTCGTAATCGCTTTCTCAGCTCGTGTCCTAAAAGAGCCTGAAGTTTCCATGGTGACCCGTGGCTCCATCGACTGAGACGTTATCCGTCAAACCGCCTGGGATGCAGAGTAGAGCTGAAGCCCCCAAAACAACCTGCAGTTGCCCCCCTGAAAATCGACTGGTGATGTTATCTACAGCGTGTCTGTCGGCCATGTGAAGATCCCAGCTGTGTCTAACAATTCTCCATCTCTGCCAAACTGCAAACCATAATGTCCTCATGTGACATACCTTCTGCTCTTTGATGTTCCAGCAAACATTTGAACCTCCAACCCAAACCAAGGAAGCTTTACCTGTACTAAGAAACATCCGCAAGCTCCTGCAGTCCTGGTGGAAATGTGGTGGGATTTACAGCCTAAATAAAGCTTTCATCCTGATTTTGATCTGATGATGAAAAAGGGGTCCCTATGTCCTCCAGCAGTCTAAGCCTATAGCAGCAGAACTATAGAGATAGCTCAGGATAACCTGAGCCACTCTAACTAGAAGCTTTAACAAAAAGGAAAGTTTTAAGCCTAGCCTTAAAAGTAGACAGGGTGTCTGCCTCACGGACTAAAACTGGTAGTTGGTTCCACAGGAGAGGAGCCTGAGAACTAAAAGATCTGCCTCCCATTCTACTTTTAGAAATTCTAGGAACCACTAGTAAACCTGCAGATTGAGAGCGAAGTGCTCTGTTAGGAACATAAGGAACAATCAGATCTCTGATATTTCTATCTGTGTTCTTTGATAGAAATGTTAGCATTTCCCTGTTATGAAATGCTAGAAACAATAATTACTCTCTACTAGTGATGTCATGAGATGAGCCGAGGCTTCGAGGCGCGTATCGAGTAATGGAGGGGGCGTTTCTCTATCGAGGCGTGATTCATTTAGAGGAGGGGCCAAAATTGATGACGTCCGAGGCCTCGCTACCGTAATACCACATGACCGCTTCGGGAAGAGCAAGAATTTTGACAGGAATTAAATCAGCCTCAGTATTCAGTCAAGATGTGGGAGTTTGGAGGAGAGCTGCTGTCAGCTGGATGAAGTTTGGATAGATTCTAAGAATAGATTGGTTGGAAAAACAACCAATCTAGTTGATTAAAACTATTTTGGTGAGAATAAACAATCGGACAGTTAGTGTTAGCACGTCAGTATTAAGGAGTATTTACTCCATTTCACAGGTATCCACATAAGCAACATATTCTCATTAACAGTTCGTATGAAATCCTACGAAAAGTTACGCACAGTATTTCATAAGTTTTGGACGTTTTTCCTTGAAAAAACAGATCAGTGCGCATGCGCAGCCAGACAGACGAAAAAAGCAGATCCGCGGACGGACGTAAAACTGTGAAAAACATTGAAATAATTACTTCATGTCTCTCACTAGGTTGCTTGCTGTTTTATATCTTAGGGTTAGGGTTAATTCTATGTAAAATTCTATGTTATTGTATGGTGCGTAAGGTGCGCAAGACGTAAAAATACGCCGAAATACGACGAAAAAAACGTCCAAAACGTACGAAATTACGGTGCATAACTTTCCGTACGATTTCGTACGAACTGATAATGAGAATACACTGACATAAGTGGCGTCATCTTGTAAGACACAAGTTTTCACTCCGTAGGTTGATGGTGCAAGACCTACCTTTGACTTTTGAAAGTTGCGATTAAACTTAATTATTTTGGCTGATGAGACTAATTTGTATTGGTTTGCCATAGTAAAAATATAGATTGGGTGAAAACGCTGCCAAATTAGGTCAGTTTAGGCAAAAGATTGGTTGAACACAACTTCCAACCTGATTAAAACCAAAAAATGCGAAAAAGTATCATGTTAGAATAAAAATGACTCACACCTTTCATTTTGCTCATCATTGCCCAATTTGCACAAACACTTTCACTGTCTGCTTGAGTTTATTTCACTAAAATCGCAGAAAAACTGTGAACCTTAAATGATTGTTCTAAGAAATTTTACACTTAAAAAAAATTACAAAAGACAATTAACAATTTCAAAGGAACTTGAAAGGGGGGAAAAATAAAAACAATTGCAAAAGAAAACACAAATTTTATTACTAACTGTAGTTATGCAGTTAAAAAAAAACTCTGTGCCTTTAACAAAGTCAGACGAATATGTAAAATCTGCCTTAAGACCTGGTTTCAAGTGGATGCAGCTAAAAACATCAGAAAGAGACTCTTCCAGGTGAAAAACAATACATTTTTTATTCAGGGGGCAGGGCTTTGATGATTAATTAATGCCTAATTAATTCTCAAAATTAGTTTTATTTAAACTCTGTATTTTTGAGTTGGATTTTTAAAATTTCCCTTTTAGGGAGCAAAATAACTTCATAAATCTCTCTATTAACAGAAACCTAAAACAGCTCGCTGAATGGGAAATAATAACTAAAGGTCTGTTTTGATGTTTCTATTCAGAGAAATCCCCTTAGGTGTCATTTAAGAGCTGATAGGAACAACCAGCAGCGCTTGTTGATGGAGAAGTGATTCAGAAAGGGATGACGTGTTGGATCTCCCAGATAAACCTGCTCTGGACATTCATGTTTGAGCAATGAGGAGATTTAAAGAAACGGATTCATAAAGAGATCCAGGAACCGTGAACAAAAGAAAAGTGTTAAATTAAAAAGGAGCAGGCAGGAGAGGAAATAAGCTTCTGAATGAAGGTCTGGGGACTGAGCTGAAAAGGGTCTGTGCATACGTGCTCCCCGTCAAAGCGGGGCTGTCAACCCATTTCCCACTTTCTTCCCACGCCGCACATCTATGTTGTTGCACGGTGAAAAACAAATTTACAGCTTAAGAGGTGGGAGTCTGAAAAGAGGCTGATGTTGCTGAAGTAGCAGGATGCAGCTTTCAGGAGCAGGATATGAACACGGCTTCATTCGCTCACAGCAGCAGAGGGTTCCACCAAAGAGTCATGATGACGTTTACCGCGGTTCTGATGCAGCTTCTGCTTCTTTGCATTTTCCATCCAAACAGCCAGATGTTCCTGATGTCTTCCAAAAACTGTCTAAATCAGCAATTCTTCAGGCTTCAGGAAGAGCTCTATTCAATCCAGTTTAAACCTAATTAGCAAACAGCTAATTTTAAATATGTTGTTTTTGCAGTTTGATCAAATGTTTTCTATCTAATAAAACCAGGCAGACATCATCAGGGGTTTAAAGGAATAGTACACCCAAAACATGATTAGCCTTCATTTTCTACTCACCCCCATGCTGAACAACACTCTGGAGTACTTTTTTGATATCTCAAATGCATCTGGAGATCTGGGAGGCTTCTTGCTGTCTGCTGACATTCAAATAATGGAGGTCTATGGCGCCCGAGGCAGAAAGGTCCATAAAAGTCCACAAAAAACGTGTCAATATTCCTCCATACTGCTCGTCCAATGTATTCCAAGTGTCCTGAGTGGGTAGCGTCCATAATTTACTCGAAACTAAGTCATTTAGAATGTTTTTAGAGCATAAACAGTAGTGTATAGGATTTCCTGAAAGCGCGTTCACGAGTCTACGGAAACCGCGGCAGACCAAACCAGATGAAAGTGCGCATTCAGCGTCTGCTCTGCCGATAATGCAAGCGTAGAAGAAGAAATGTGCTGTTTACCTGTGCAAAGAAAGAAACAACGAAAGAAAAATGTCTGAGGACTTC